GAGTGGGGAGGGGTTGGAATGGGCAGCTGATATATTAGGGGCTAGAGTAGAAGGCAAATGTTTTGAGAATGATGAGGGCAGCGAATGTACATATGTGCTTGACACAATGGATGTATGTATGGATTGTGATAAGAATTATACGAGCCCCCAATAAAATAATTTTTTAAAAATTGTTAGTGGTCATCTTACCAACTAATACACAATTGTTGTCTGTTCTCATCTGGGGCAAAAGAGAGTGAAGGAACCCTAAAGATGCACACAAACCACCACTTATTCTCGCACTGTTGACAGCTGTGGTCAGGGAAGCAATAGATGTCATTAGGATGGGAGAGAAATCCAAAACTAAATATAGATTCATAAAAAGGACCAAACTCAATAGACTAATAGTAACTAGAGGTAGCCCAAGACGATCTCCCTAAAACAGGCACCCTGTTAACTGAAGCTATACTCAGAAGTCATCTCTATACCAAATACTGCCTATAAAACAAATGACAGCTATGAGGTATGCCTTACAACAATCAATTACATGAGATAAATGGGCAAATTCTGCTCAAAAATAAAGCTAAGAAGGCAAGGACACTGGAGGTTAGAAACAGGAAAGCCAAGGCAGAAATAAGGAGAATGCTGACACATTAGGGAGTAAGCAAACAATGTCACAACACAATCTATGTAGGAATTGCTGAATGGGGAATAAATTTGCTGTGCACACTTTCACTTAAAACACAATAAAATGCTATTGTTTTTTTAAAAATATGTGCTACAAACAGATGTGAATCTACTGTTAGATTTCTTTAGTACATATACCAAAATTCTTGGGATTTAAAATAAGAATAAAATCATTCGATCAAGTAAGCCATCAAAAAACAATGGTGATGAAGAACATGCATTAACATAGGCTTTTGTGTTCTATAAGAGAAATGGTAATGAGTGAGGAGGTAATGAACAGTTTGGATGCAACTAACAAACACACTTGAGACACAACAAGAGTATTTATTCTCAGGAAGGAAATGGCATTGATGATTTAGCTCTTGGTATAGCAAATATTTACCCTCTGCTTTCAAAGTTCTGAACGTCAGGCATTTGGGAACTCAAGATGTTCCAATAAAAAGGTATCCAACATCACTCTGCAAACTAAAAAGGGGAAGAAACCAAACTCAGGTTTCACATCAGATGTAGACATCTTTCTGGGTGACTATATGGAAAAATTCAAAGATTCACAAATATGCCAAAGTCACCCACCATATCTTGTGGGAACCATTGCTTTGAGAAATAACTCTAAAACACTTAAGTTTACCTTTCATTTCTTCTGCAAACTTCTGGCTCTGGTTTAAATTCTGCTTGGTCTTCTTGAGTTCATCCTCCAGGTGGCAGACTTCTCGGGCCCTTTGCTCAGATTGATTCTTAAGAAGGTTGCTTTCCTTCTTCATTTCCTAAAATAAACACATAGTTGGTTACTGACAAAGAAAATGCTCAAACAGGTTGGGGCTTCTGTCATAGTAAGGATCCCTAATGGAATTGTTTGTACATCTCACTAAGGGAAAAATCCATTTCACTTTGAGTACTTGTGAAATTAGAAATACTTAAATCATTCTACATGCAGAAACCAAAGCAAATCTGATGTTAATTTTTTTCCTAAGAAATACATTTCTTTGAACTTTCTGACTTGGTATGTTAAAAGAGTAAGCACATAAGGAAAATTCTATTTACAAGATCCTCAGAGGGAAGACACGTTTCCATGACATCTTAATGATTAAGTACATCTTTGCAAAGATTTGATGTGTTTATTTAACAGAATATTCATGTCACAAATTTATACTTCTTTCCCCATGCCTTTCCAGGTAAATTATCTTCAGCAAAGGTTTAACAGGAAAATACACAGTGTGTCAGGTATTATGCTGGGCATTTGGAAAGACTCAAATAGAAAACAGAGTCCTTGCCCTCAAGATAGGTATCATCCCCCCACCCCCACCCCCACCCCTACCCCCGCAGTGGGGTCAAATGTAATATCAGAAATGTGGTGTTAAAACGTCAAAACAGAGGACCCAATGTCGGGGGTTTAAATGGAGAGAAAATGCTTTGAGAAACGATGTACAAATGCGCTTTACACAATTGATGTGTGTATGGATTGGGATAACAGTTGTATGAGCCCCTAATAAAATGTTAAAAAAGAGGGGGAAAAAAAAAAAAGTCAAAACAATAACAACAAAAACTGTTGGCATGGAGTAGCTTCTGAGCCACACTGCTCCTACCACCCAGGATGTGGATGGGTGTAAGAGACTATAAGCGCTACATAAAACAAGCATAGAGCTCTCTGGCTCCCCTCTCTTTCCCCTCTCCTCTCCCTTCCTCTCTCCCTTGTTCCCTTGCCCTCCTTCCCTTCCCCTTCTCTCCACGTGGACAGCCAAACTGGGCTGAGATCCCAGGTGTTGTCAGTGGCCTGCCGGCCATGGATTCATTGACCTCTCCACCAACCAGCCTGTGCCCCCTGATGCCTCTGCTTCATCATTATGCTTCCTGTTTGTCAGCTTCCATCAGTCAGGAGAAGCCTGACTTTAACCAGACTGGATTTACCTACTTCTACAAGTGTGTAAGCTATTTCTCAATATAAATCTGTCTACAGTCAAGCACAAAAAAAAAAAAAAACAAGCATAGAGAACAGAAGGAAGAATTCATCCAGGATGATGAATCTGCGTTTTCCTGGTGAAAACAGGTTCTCTGCATACTTGACTAAATTAAATATCTGATAATAAAATGCAGTAAAATAACAAGAGCTGGGTATGCAGATCTGGTCTATTAATCTAGGGAGACCTATTTATTTTATTGACTCTCAAAACTAAGCAATGTCTGCATATTAAATTTAAAAAGCTATGGCTTATTAGCCACATAAAGATGTACATCCTCAAATCCTCAATTCATATTCCTCCACCTGTTTTTCATCTTTCAATCATTTTATCTAATGATTTACTCACTCTATATTATATGCCAGCCTCTGGACCAGAGATTTGGCAAACATTGTCACAAGCTGACAGCGTCAAGCACATCCAATACTTGGGAGAAGGAAGAGGTCACATATTCTTTGTTGATTTAACATAGTTTTGAAACCTTATTTTAAAATACCAAACTCGCCCCTGAGAAGTGGGAGAAATTTTTGAATCTTAAAGAAACCATTGAGACCTATACTCCTGCATCATTAGGAAAAAGACGGCCCTGGCAATGCTGTGCTGGAAAGCTGCCCTCAATTATCACTCTGGTTACTACCAGCAGATGGGTCCCCATGTCGCACAGCCAAATTCAAGAAGGGGGCAAATCTGGCTAGTAAAAAGTACTTGAAAACTTGCTGATAACTGTCCTATTCAGGTATATATTCATCTCATCATTAATTAAGACAGCCTGTTGTAGTTATAGTCCTCTACCTCCTTTGTCTTTTAATCCCTCCTCCCTTCCACTCGGCGAAACTTCAGGCATCAATTAGAAGTGGAGAGCAGCTATGACAAGCTAAAGCTCACATCAGTTAGTGCTAAATTTTGCAGGATGATCATGAAAATGCAACAGTATTACAGATCTAAATTAGCATAATTAAACCACAGAAACTATAATCACTTGTTTGTTCTTCGGGTTCAGTACACTCACCACTCTAATGAGATCAAAGATATGAAAGGAGAAACACCTTAAAGCACTTTAACAAGGCTAAAAGAGCATTCATTCGTAGTATTGTTTCCCAAAATTTACCATTAGCCAGACCTACGTGACCGATGCTGAGAAACTGTTGAATGATTTCAGCAATAGAGTGACCAGTATTACACCTAAGCTGATGTAGCATTATTATGCTATTTCCAATTGTCAATCTAAAAGGTCAATGGTTCAAGCCCATCAACCACTCTTTGAGAGACAGATGAGGCAGTCAGCTTCTATAAGCCCCATGGAGGCAGTTCTATCCTGAGTCAGAAGTGGATTGTACTAAAGAATTAATCAATCAATTATATCTGGAGGTTCAACAAGAAAGCTGGGAACACATTGTGTACCAAAAGCTGAGTGCATCCCAATGGAAGGAAGGAAGGAAAAAGAAAAGAGGGTAGCCGGGAGGAAAGAGACCACAAATATTTATGAGTCTGTCAATCTCTCTGCCCATAACTGGAGACATTTAAACGAAAAGCAAGCTTAATGGAAAGATTAAACTGGCTTTTTCTCTTCTGGCACTAGCTCCGTAAATATTTTATAGCCAATGAAGAAATGTTCAGCCAATCCTGGGATGCAGCAGGCTTATCATGCTAGGGCTATGACCAACCCAAGATTTTAAAAGGCCAGAATTTATAAAACAAGCATCTGAAAATGGATCTTTATGTCGGCTGCCATCACCGGTAATTAGTTTTCCACGAGACTACAGCCACTTAAGACTTGAATGTGTAGCTCATTATCAACAATGAGTTAAGCATACAAAGATATAGTCTCCTAGGCATCCCTTGTACATCATATGATGTACAAAATTGGGCACTATTCTAGAAAAACACAACACAATTCCCTATAACCACAAGCCAGCATTGGCGCTTAGCAAGCAATTCCACCCAGATCAACTTTGGTTTAGGAGCAGCAAGGGAAACATCATTTCCTAGGGCCAGACAAAACAAATTTCAGTTACTGTGTGGCATTTCATGATCCCATCCATGAATTAAGCTTAATATGTCCCCTGCTGAGTAAAATCTATATCGTGAAAGGGGGATGATGCAAAGGATGGGTTTTCCCTTTCTGCCAATCATTCTTGCCTGCCAGACCAAACTCCTTAGAGGACCTAGTGCAATACAGATCCGGGTGCTTGGAAAGATCCCCAAGCTAGTGTTTCCTGCTCTTGACTATCAAATAGGGGTATTTTATTGCCCAAAACCAATACTACTTACTGGGCTAGCCCTGGATGCTGGATGAGTAGCTTGTCTGAACCCTCCATTCAGTTAGATACTAAATTTTAACTTTACCCTTGATTGAGCCATTAAATTACATTTCCAGCATTGATCATTTCTCAGCCTAAGCAACATATTAGTTTACTAAACACGAACAAGGAAAATTTCGCTACAACTGTGACATTCTGCTGGCATCCAAAACATATAAACATGCTAAACTTGCCTGTATTTGCTTATAAGTAAATAGAGAAAACTATCCAGAGTGATAGAGCAGAAGTTTCCAACATTAAAAAGCTCAAGTGCACTGCGACCTCCTTATCATTTTCTGTGTCTATTGGTGACAGTAAACAATGGCAACATCAAAAGCCCTTAAAAGTTCTGAAGACCAAAGTAGTGAACAGGTGGACTGTAATAACACACTTTATTAAACAGGGTCAAAGCACTTCACATGCAATATTTAATGTAACCATTATTACATTCTTAAAAAGGGGACATTATCAGCCCGAATATACAAATGAGGCCACATGGGTGGCATAAATAGTTAAGGGCTCAACTATTAACCAAATGGCTAGACATGGTTCAAGCCCACCCAAAAGTGCCTCAGAAGAAAAGGCTGGGAATTTACTTCTTTAAAAATCAGCCATTGAAAACTCAGGGAGCACAATTATACTCTGGCACACTTGAGGTCACCGTGAGTCAGAATCAACTCAACAGCATCTGGTTTCGTTTTTTTTAAAATACACCGATGAAAAGAGTCAAGCTCAGAAAAGGCACTTCATTTTCCCAAGATCACACAGCAGGTACATGGCGGAAAAGCAATGCAATGTCAGATCTCTCTCACTCTAAAGCCAGCACCATTTTACCACTGCTCAGACTGGTTAAACCACTTAGCTGATTCCAATTCCAATTCAAGGTCAACAGCCAGCTAACCTCTTGATGTCACCCTCAAAGAACGAACACACACATTAAAACAAAAAGTAAATTACCAGGCATTGTCCAACATACTGACTTGCATGATTACTCTCATTTGACAGAAAAATAAAATCCAAGCATACCATGCATTTAACTTAGTAAAGGCTAGAGCCATCTGCAGAAGCTCTACTGCTGACAAGCCAGACCTTGTGGGGATGAGCAAGTCTTCAGAAACACCTGCATGACAACGTCCAGCCCACTACTGCAACTTGGGCCAAGTGAACAGTGTTAAAAATGTTTGGAAGCTCTTACTTAACCAGACAATTGCTTTTACAAAACGCTTCCACCAAGCAGCCAGTGGAGTCACAGGAGAGTTGATGGCTGGAAGGGAAGCTCACAGAGGGAAGAGGTCGGTGCCAGTCTGCCTGTGGAAATGTTAGCAGAAGCATCTGTTGGTTGGTCCCCACTGGCCAAAAGGCAAACATTTGTTTTGCTGAAACAAACACTTCCATTTCAAAACGTTCACTGATGAAACCAAACCATCATCGGATGAAGTTTTCTTCCACTTGGGTAGCTTGGGTTCTGGCCTCCTGTCTCCAGCAGCATTCGCCCTCTGAGGCTTGCTGCTTTAACTACTGCCTTTGTGTACTAACAGATGTTCTAGTTTTGCAATCAGGACACGCTCTCAAAGATTTGGGAGTAAATGCATTTAAAATTGTCTCACCTGAATAATTAACTGTTGTTTAGAGAAAATTTTTAAAATAAGAATTTTTACAGACTAGAGTGATCAGAGAGTATTTCAAGAATGAGAGAGAATACATTCTTTGCAATGACGTGTGGGAGGAGAAATTTCAACCATCTTCTATTGCATTTCTTCCTAAAATTACAAGATTGATTTATGGCTCTATTCAAATTGCTTCAGTCTATTAACTGTCCCTAAGTGGTTCTTAATTAAGTCCTTTATAATAAACTCCAGCACACCAAATAAACTCAGATGCCAAACTACCAGTCTGTATGAATAAAATCCGATCGATAGAGTATTCCTAGCATCTATGCGATCTGTGAGTCATCATCTACCTTTTTGTATAATGAAGATGAATCTCCAAAACCACGAATACTACATTAATATTGGCTTTTAAAGCCAAGATAAATTCAGTTTATAATTATTAATGATTTTGTAAGAATTTTAAAGCAAGAAACTTTTGCATGTTATTACTTTTGTTTATGCAAATATATTACTTTCTACAAGGGTTTTTATGTATGTTGAATCAAAAGCCATCCCTTTTTCCACTCTTAATTATCTCCAACACCAATTCTGTTTCTTTCCATTTAGAAAATCCTATATGGTAGCTTTGAATTAGAATTTACTTTATGAGTTGGTATAGTTTTTCCTTTTTGCTTTTTCATTTCCAGTCTCCCAGGTGGTCTAAAGGTCTAGCTTTAAAAATGGTTGTAAAAATGCACAAGTTCCTAATACCAGCATGGTTTCCTATTATTATTCATGCAAGGTTTATATAAACAAGACCCACTACCATGGAGTACAGTCAAACTAAGGTGCATGGGGCAAGAGAGAAATGCTGTTTTCGCCAAAAACTGCCACACGCAGATAGCTGCATGAGCAGGGGCATCGTCATGGTGGCAAAGCCAGTCCCACATCTGGCACAGATCAGGCTTTTTTTGTCACAGTGTTAAGCAATCTTTTCAGAACCTCTAAATCAGGGGTCCTCAAACTTTTTAAACAGGGGGCCAGTTCACTGTCCCTCAGACCCGTTGGAGGGCCGGACTATGAACAAATTCCTATGCACACTGCACATATCTTATGTTCAAGTAAAAACGCAAACGGGGCAAAAACACCCAGCGGGCTGGATAAATGTCCTTGGCGGGCTGCATGTGGCCCGCGGGCCATAGTTTGAGGACGCCTGCTCTAAATACAAAGCTTGACCTTCGTTAAAAAAAAAAGTCTGGGTCACTTCAGAGCTGTTCTTTCAAAGCACAGCATGTTTCCACTCGACACTCTTTTTTTTTTCCTGGTCAGTCAGAACCCAGGGTACAAATTTCCCAAATCCTCCATTAAAATTCACTGAACTGGGCTCCAAGATAGTCCAGATAACTTCCCCAGCTCTCAATGTCCCATTGTTGGTCATAGAGCACTGGTGCATGAATTTTGTTGTCATTTTCATCCATCCAGGAAGCTGACAAGTGTCCAGAATGAGATTTGTTATCAATTGGCATTTCACCTTTTTTGAAATGAGAAAACCATTCCCACACTTGAGTTTTGCCCATAGTGCTGTCCTTGTAAGCTGTTTTAAACATCACAACAATTTCTGTGGCATTTTTTCTGAGCAGGAAACAAAATTTCACAGCCATCTGGTCTATTAAATGGGTCATCACAAAAAAAATAGGTTGGAGAAAATTATTTTATAAAAACATTCACTATGACCAGAGAAAACCTTCCCAGGCAACGCCACTGGGTACCACTAACTCAAAGTGAGTTGCTTGATGCTCACCGAGTGGAAAAAACACATACTATGAAAGCTCCACGCAGTGGAGCTTTTTTCTCTTTTTTTTGGTAACCCCTTGAACTTCTGTTAAATAAAAGAGAAGACTAACTATATGAGAAGGCTTCGAAAATTCATGAGAAAATGGAAAAGATAATGGACTATTTCCACAAACTTCTTGAAGCCAACTCATCTGGGGCATGCTGAACTTCTGAAAAATAACCTAGGAATACATTTAGCACTCACATTTTCCTCCTAACCAAAGTTGATAAATACTTATCTCTATTCCTTACCTCACTGCTTCTCCTCAGCTCATTCTCTTTCATCTGACATGCCAGGAAGGCCTGTTCAGTTCTGCAGAATTTTTGGTTAAACTCTTCCAATTTTTTTTCTAACTGTTGCTTTCCTGATGTGACCTATACCAAGAGGTAGGGAAGAAACAAACAAACAAACAAACAAAAAGCAAGAGTTAAATTTTTTTTAATTTTTAAAATATCATTACTTCATTTCTCTCTGAAAATTTTTTATTGTGAATTGGGTAAATGTTTATAGAGCAGATCAGTTTATAATTTAACAATTCATGTACCTTGGATCTTCACAAATAATATTTAGAACCTAAGTATTAACAAGATTATTGGATACAATAATTTATGATTTCTATCCTGTGGGACACAATATGTATCACAGCAAATATCGTACTCACTATAAAGAACTGAAAAAAATCGAACCTGTTACATTATGTGGGGACAATACAGAGAAAATGAAAGAAACTGGGTTTAGGGTTGGGGCCACAAAATAAAAGTATTTACACACAAAAGTAAAACACCTTAAAATAAACCAACATAAAACAAATAAGGCAGAAACAGATGGAGAACACATTTACAATACAGTAAAGTCTACCAAAACCTGGACCTGCATAAGGCAGAAAACCTGTCAGAAAAGGAAAATTCAAATAGTTTTGAGAAAAAAAAACAACAGTAAAAGAGAAACAGAATAGTGGCAAGAATGCATAGTCAGAGACAGAGAACTTGCAAATCCCCGAAAAAAAACAAGGCAGGCTTGTGGATCTCTAACTCTCACAGGTTGGAACTCCATGTGACTACAGGATCACATCCACAGAAATAGAAAGTATTATCAACAATACAATTTACAGAATGACAAGTAAAAGAATGGTCAAAGGATAGACACAGAAAAAAAATAGGAAAATACAAATAGTAAAACAAGAAAAGAACCAACTTCTAAAAAATACAACTTCAGTGTTATTTCTGATGTCATTTTTCATCCCTTAGTTGGCAACATTTGTAAAATCAGGACATCGGCAAAGATGCAAAGGGAAAGGTCTCACTCATAGCTGGTGTGAGACTAAACAGCTAGAAATTTCTTGGAGGCCAACTTGGCACTATCTATCAAATGTCAGACTGCATGCTCCTTCCAAACTACCAGTTTCATGTCTAGAAACTGGCTTCATAGAAATAGCACAGACACACAAACACACACAAATAACTTCCCAATGGCATTACCAACAATGCTAGAGTGAATAAGCAAACACTGGGAACCTATATATCCCTCACACAGATCAAATATACTACAAAAAGTTCGACAGAGCCTAGGTTCATACAATACCAAAAGAAAGTTCCCTTTGTAATTAAAATGAAAACAAACAAGCACCTGAACATGTACTTTTTAAAAAGTCTTCAAAGATACCCACTAAAATGCTAATAAAAATTTATCCTAGGAGGGGGAATGAGAATTTTTAAAATCTATTTTTGTTACATTTAGACAGATGGCTAGACAGTGCGTCTATAAACACTTCACATAGTTCCTCAAATAGAACAGGTGTCAATAAGCGTTAGCTTCACACACACACACACACACACACACACACACACACACACACACACACACACACACACACACACACACACCCCACCCCCATCTTGAGTTCCCAGCCCCCAGCCTTGGTTTCTCCGCTATAGTATACACAATGTAAAGGGCTCTACTTAAATGATGTCTCCGTTTTAGAAAATAAGCGTGACTCAGACAGCAGATGAGTATCTGACATATTCAGAGTGAACGCAGAATACGTACTCTCTGACAAATGAGGAGGCAAAGAGAATAAATGACTCTACTGACCATGTCCTGCCATCTCACAGCTGTAGATATTCAGTGCCTCAGGTCGTTACAGGAGTTAAAAACAAATAACCCACAAGGTTCTGAAGAGAGAGTTATTACTCTGGGAAAGGGGGAAAGCAGGATACAGGTAACAAAGTACTGGGCAGGAATATATGTACTGACAAAAGACAATTTCATTGATAGGGTAATGTTTGAGCAGGAAGGTCAAGTTAAAGCAGGAAGCTTTGCAGCTCTATCTAGGGCAGCGATTCTCAACCTGTGGATCACAACCCCTTTGAGGGTCAAATGCCGTTTTCTCAGGGGTCCTCTAAGACCATCAGAAAACACCTATTTCCACTGGTCTTAGGAACTGAGACACCGCTCCTCTATCCGTCTCCAGGTGAGTCCACCCAATTACAAGTACCCGGTGTGAAAACTATTACCCATACTACACCAGACTTCAAGACTAAATTTCATTTATTTGTAATTAGAAATAAATATTTCACAATATATTGTTTTGTGATTAATCACTATGCTTTATTTTCAATTTGTAACAATGAAAATACATCCTGCATATCAGATATTTATGTACATTATGATTCATAACAGTAGCAAGATCACAGTTATGAAGTAGCAATGAAAATGTTATGGTTGGGGGGGTCACCAAAACATGAGGAACTGTATTAAAGGGTCGCGGCATTAGGAAGGTTGAGAACCACTGGTCTAGGGAAAGGGCATTGCAGGAGAAGCAAGAGTAAAGGCCGAGAGACAGTATGTGTTTGATGTGTTCTTCTACCAACAGCAAGGAGGTCAGGCAGCGGAAAGAATGAAGATGCAGAAGACGAGATTGGGAGGGGGCTGTGGGAGGCCACCTAGAGTCCTGCAACCTGTGCAAGGACCTGCCTTTCACTGAGAGGCAGGAGATGATTGCAAGGTTTTGAAGAGAAGAGCAATGCTACTGGGTATAAATTATGCAGGACAGCTCCCACCTGGTCACGCAATCAAGATTCAGTATCAGGGACACACACAGGCTTTCAGATCTGAAATCTTATCAACCTCCTCTTTCTCGAGATAAGAAAACTGAGACCTAGAAAATTTCCAGTTGCACTTCATCTGTTGATAAACAAAAAGTGGCTAGAGCATTCTTTCTTTTAAAAGTACTGCCCGTCAGGTATGGCACAAAAAAAGTAGTAAGTAATAACAGGATGGCTGAGGAAAGAGAAAAAAGTTAGTGCCATACTTTATCCAATTCAGCCTGTAGGATATTATGAGTATTCTTGGCCTGCTGTAGCTCCTGGGTAAGTTTGGCTTTCATCTGAGTGCACTCTTGGTCCAAGGTTTGGAAAGACAGCTGCCGACAGGCAAGCTCCTAAAAAGCAAAAATTATACACATTAAACTGACAATGATTAAGAGGGGAGGTCTAGGGAAGATACAAGCCTGTGAGCCGTGCTAGGTTGAAAGGGCAGTAGACAATAGGGAGCCCAGCCGACCATCCACTTAATGAAAAACATAATTAGCCCTAGCACTGGTCCCGGTAATCAAATCCAAGTCTTTGAAGGGGAAGAGGAAGGAGTCCTTCAGTGACCACAAAGAAACCGGTCTGTTTCCTCATCCCAGAATCTTAAACTAATCATTGGAGGGCGTGAGGGCAAAAGATGAGTTGAGCTGGGGCAGTCACTGCTCAACTGAGAAAGTATACTAACATAAAAAGTCACAGCACATACCAGTTACAATGGTCTTCTTCAGCTTAGAGGGATTGAAAATGTCACCAATTAATTTTGTTAACCACAGAAGGACACCAAACTAACATCTGCAGTGATGCTTATTCAAAGGCTATATAGATTCTTAATCCATGAGACACTTTCAGGATAAACCACCTAAAGGAAAAAGATTGGCAGCAATACACTTCACCATTAAAGTGTCCAAAAACTTCTCTTCCCACTGCCATCAAATACTTTTCTCATTATTAGCCAACCCATAGACTTTAAAATAGTTGGAGTAGCTAATACAATTTCCCCTCACAGCAGGGAAAGTATTGGAAAGAAGAAATATGATCCTTTTCTTTCTTATTCAGTATATCAAGTCTCATAGAAATCAGAAAACATGGATATAACAAAATCCTGACTTCCAATTTCCTTCTCCAATAAAAAGCTGAAAGGCACCCAAAAAGTGTGTCCTTTAGCTCACAGAACATCTCCCCCATCCACCCACCCACCCACTAATGAAAAGGCAAAACGATGAGAAAAGTTCTTCCTTTCAAAGATCAGATTATGAAATGCTGGCAAGAGTTTTCCAGACAAACTTCTCACAGATCTGTTCGCCTTACCTGCTGAAACTCCTTTTCCCTTTCCTTGATTTTTTGTTCAAGGGAATATCTGGCACTTTCTGCATTTTGTCGCTGACAACTCAAATCTTCAGTCAATTTTTTTAGTTTCTGTTCCAATGTAGCACACTAACAATAAAAGAAAACATTTAATACACAACAAAAATTACTCAAAGAAACATATACTAGTTCTAAGACTCATTTCAGTTTACCAGTGGATTTTGATAGTTTTATACCCAAAGATCTATGAAATAAAGATACCAGGCAAGTATCAAAACTACAATAATTACTTTAGCACACAGAAAAGTAATACTTAGGAACCATTAGCAAAGATGTAAAGTACCAGCACATTTAAATAAAAATGAAATAATATGCACTGTGGCAAAAGAGACCAGAATTTCTAGGGAGCACTTGTTTAAAGCATTTGGTTGGTTGCTCAAAAGCGAGAGGTTACAACACAGTGTGCTGACCGTTGTCATATTAGTCTGGAAATAATCAGAGGGTGCCACTACCTTCAAATGCAAGTCTGCTTCAAGTGTAATGATTTAGTTGGAAATTTTAAGTATTAAAATGATACACAATGCTCTCTGTAAGTCCCTTTAAATATCTAGAGGTTCAGGAAAAATCCTAAGAGGTCTTTAATTAAGCTACCATAAGCAATACTGAAAAGGTTCCTGTGGCCTTTCCATATGGCCACATCCCTGATCCCTCAGTCATCCCTGAGACACATTTTTTTTTCAATATAAGCTACTTTAAAATTTATAACACTCTTCTAAAATTAAATTAAGGTAAGTTGGTCTAAATTCTCAAATGCTGAGCCCCATTCCTTTGAATTTCGCCCCTTTGCTGCTCAAATCCTTAAACTGACTATAAAACAACTCTACAGTCGTGTAGAGGGTTAAGAAAACTTCCCACAGGTTGGGAAGAACTCCCTGGTCCAAGAGAAATCTGCCCGAACTTGGTAAATCTTCATCTACTAGTAGATTTCTCTAAGATTCATTATAATCTCACTTAGAACTCTTAGAAATGCTGTAATCTTAAGTAAAAAGGGAGAGGAAAAGAAATCACTCTAACAATACCTTATCAGAAGACCAACAGTCTAATTTTAATAACTAAATAATATGAAAAGAGCAAAGCTATTCATAAATGGCCACATGGTTATGAAAATATCAGAACAATAAAAATATGAAACTCAAAAAGTAAACTACTGAGTCACGGGATCAAAGCAACCCACGGCCCTAGACCAGTCTTTTCCAAAGGAAGCAATACCACCTTTGCTCTTTATAGTCTTTGTTTTATTTGATGTTCTTAAATAGAAGTCACTATGAGTCAGAAATGCCTCAATGGCAGTGAGTTTGGTTTGAGAAGGGGTAGTATTAGAGGTTATAACAATAAATAGGAATTCAAAAGCAGATATTAAATGTCTACTGCTGCCACATTAGTCTACTAACTACAAGGCTGGGAGTTCAAACTCACCAGCCACTCCATGAGAGAAAAACGAGGCATTATGCTCCCATAAAGATTTACAGCCTTAGAACTGGAGGAAGTTCTTCTCTTCCGAAAGAGTGACTGAGTCAGAATTCTTTGATGGTAGTCTTTGGCTTGTATTTGGCAGATGTCAGGGATTGTTCTGGGTACTGAGAATGTAAAGTGAACAACTCAGACAAAACCACTGCCCAGATGATTGTTCTAAACATCTGATGGTTGGCAATTCTCAGGTAAAAGGTATGCATGGTAGAGATTATGAATGAACCCTTGGCTCCCTCTGCTGGCTCTCCTGCAAACTGCAAAACATTCTACCAAATTTCCTCAGGATCATGAATTCTTTCCTTTTAGAAACATTGGGAAAGAGAGTCCTGGGGAAGCATTTACACTTTATTCCAATGCACAATACATATCAAAGCAGTTGACCACTAGGTGTCATCAATGATCCACATTTACCCTACAACAGTGTCCAAAGCCCAAGTCCTCGTAAATAATGACAGAGTGCATAGTCCTGGAGACTCACTTAGAACTCTTAGCCCACGTTTCTCCTTTATAAAACATAGGTGCTAAACTCCAGGTCTGCTGCCAGCCTCAGCACTCTGTTTCTACAAGACTTTAACTCTTATATCCACGTGGAAGGTGAACACTTGGAAAACAAGCATACTAGAAATAGCTTATATTCCACAGTACTGATTTTTTTATTTTTAATTGGCTTCATTTTATTTGATTGGTAACTCTATTGATACATCAGGGAATAACATAAACCGAGCATAATTTAATTTCTGCAACTCACTTGGCACAGTCTTATTCTTAAAGTCAAAAGGAAGAAAAAGGTACACTGGATTTTAGTTAGATGGGCTGTGGTCTTACAGGGAAAAAGAGCTCAAAAGGAGATTGGCCAAAAGGAGCCTGGAGGGAAGTTTCTAACAGAAAGGGAGGGTTCTGCTTTCTCCCGGTTTTCATCAAAATTTTAATTGGTAAAATCTCACATCATCAAGTATGTTGTCATATCTAAACTTACAAGGTAAAATGTGTGTAAAAGGGTAAATATAAATTCTCATACTTAGGAAGGCATGATATAGCAAAACTGAAACTTAAAATGAGCATGACTATAAACTCAATATGATAATAACTCATGTTATTGTGGGTTTACCATGGGCCAGGCACTATGCTAAAGGTTTCTTAAAAATTATCTTCACAACAATCATATGAGAAAGCTATTATTACCATCATTTAATGAAACAACCGATGCTTAGAAATTTTTTTTTAAAGAAATCATTTAAAGAGCTCCAAAATCAATACAATTGGAATATGGAGCCAGGAATCAAATGCAAACCTTTCGATTTAAAAGACCAAATTACTACTATGAACTCATTTTATGTGCAGAGAATAAGTATATGGATCCAAGGAGGTTCTCGATTCCTTACCATCCCATCAATATTAGGTCTAAAATAATATATACTATCGGAAGATTACACGTCTAAATAAGTCAGACTCCACTTCCAGATAATGGTACAGACTTACTTTTCTCTGTAGCTCCTGCTAAAAATAACTAAAAACCCTAGATATTATATTAAGGAAAACATGACATCTCTGAAAGAAAAGAAGGCACGCTAACTAGGGGCATCCGGATCTGGGAAGCAACACAATGGTACTAAAGGAAAAGAACTGTCAACATGGAATCCTATAACCAGCAAATATATCCTTCAGTAATAAAGAGCAAGTTAGAGCATTCTTAAATGAAAGACAACTAACAGAATTTGTTACCAGCAGGACTAAAGATGTGACAAAAGAAACCTTGCAAGCAATCAGAAGGAAAAAGAACATAGTAAGAAGCAACAATAAATAAAATAGGCTTTCCTTCCCTTTACTTTTCTATATTATATATAAAAGTTGAAACAAAAATTGTAGCACAGTCTGATGCAATTCTGAAGAGTCAATCCTCATTATTTGCAAATTCTATAATCATAAATTTGCCTATTTACTAAAAAAATACTCGTGGCAATTTCTAAGTCATTTAGACACGTCCATGCACTGTGCTGCAAAAAATTCCCAACTGAGCCCAAACCAGGCCAATTCAGAATTCACTAATTCTGCATTGGCAAGGATTTCCAGAATATAACTATACTACAAATAACATAATTTCTGCAAATAACATGATTACTGTATATTACTGAGGAAAAATTTTAAGACAATTATAAACAATTGTGTGGACCCTAGAGGCTTAATGAATTACATATTGGGCCGCTAATCATAAGTCAGCAGTTCGAAAACACCTGCCACTTGCTTGGGAGAAAAAGAAGGTTTTCTGCTCGCTTAAAGATTTACGTCTATAGACACCCAAAGGGGCAGTTGTAGTCTGTCCTGTAAGGTCACTATAACTCAGAATTGACTCAATGGCAGTGAGTTTTTTTGGTAGTGAGATAATGTAGGGTAAAGGTACAAAAAGAAAGTTATGTTTTTTACAGTTACCTCAAAGTGGTAAAATGATAATAGTACAAGACTGATAATTGGTATACACAGAATATAGTCTAGAGCAACCACTTAAGAAAGTGCTACCAAAAAACTGTATTGATTGAACTCCATGTTTAATACAGCATTGACAGCAGCAAAAAGATGAAAACACCTAAGCATCCAACAGATGATTGAATAAATAAAATGTGGAAAACACATAACAGAATACTATGCGACAATAAAGAATAATGATGAGTCTGTAAAACTTCTTATAATATGAACCAAACAGACATTGTGCTGAGTGAAATAAGTAAATCACAAAAGGACAAATACTGTATGAGACCACTTTGATAAAAAGTCAAGTATACGTTCACACACAGGAAGCGACATTCTTGGATGGTTATCAGGGATGAGAAAGTCACAGACTAAATAGTAGACATCTGTCAAGTATTGTGACTAGAAAGGCAATACACAATATGGATGAAGTCAGCACACCAGGTGATCAAGGTAAATGCTACAACAGATACAATTCTGAAAGCAGTAATATCTACATAAGCAGACATGTATGCATGCTATTCAAGAGTAGAAGGCTATACAGGAATTTCAAACGAAAAACCTAATGCACTGCCATCAAGTTGGCCGACTCACAACAATCTGCTAGGCCAGAGTATAATAGCTCCCATGGGTTTCTGAGGCTATAAATCCTTATGGAAGCAAAGACTTTTTTTCTGCCCTGTTGAGGCTTGTGGGTTCAAACTGCTCATCTTGAGGTAGGCAACCCAATGTGTCACCCACTACACACCACCTGAGCGACTTTAGGGGAGTACATGTACCTGGATATAGAGACAGTTACGGAAACTTCTTAGACATACCCAAATCCTTCATAGTACTGATTTACCAGGTTTGAAGCCTAAGGATGTCTCAGACAACATCTAATTGGCATAACATCGTTCACAAAGATAATCGCGGACATCCTACTTTGATAAGTAGTAACTGAAGTCTTAAAAGTTTGAGTAACAACCCCCAAGAATGAGGGGGAGTGTGGAGACCCAAAGCCCATCTGTAGACAACTGGACATCCCCTTATAGAAGGGCCGTGGGGAGGAGACGAGCCTGATAGGGTGCAGTATAGAACCAACGAAACACACAACTTTCCTCTAGTTCTTTAATGCTTCCTCCCCTCCACTATCA